GGAAGTGGGGTCCCACATGCAGACAAGGGTTCGTGTGCAAGATGTTTATTTGGGAGGCAGCGGGGCATGAAACAGGGAAGGGAAGGCAGACTGTGAGGGTGTGACATCACATCAGCTCCCAACATGGGCAAGCCAAGCACAGTCCTGGGAAAGCTCTGGGATCCTGTTAAAAAGATACATCTCAGAGTGACCTCAAGGGGGTGGGGCTGGCGATTTACCCACCCCCATCGCACACTGACAGAAGGCAGCTGGACCAAGGGGTGACTTGTGATCCATCAAGAATGCAGCCAGGTGGAAGCAGAGGCCAGCCCCGAGAAGGGTGCCATAATGGACGTGGGTCCTGGGCCCAGAATGGTACAGGAGGGGATCTGGGTGCATTGGAGCAGCCTAGAGGTCCAGAAGCCTGAGGATTTGAGAAGCCAGTCACGGGAGGCTCTGGTTAAAAGCGTCTTATGTTTTTATTTTGCAATGTGATTTGGAGATTTGTCCATAACGGTGCATAGAGGCATCCTCATTCCCTTTTCTTTTTTTAAAATACAGATGCATAATATTCCATTCTAGCATTTATTTAGCCAGAACCCCACCAAGGCACATTTACAGTGTTTCTAATCTCCTGCTGGTACAGACAGCGCTACAAAATCACCATTTTGAACTTCTGTGAGTACCCATGGAGGATAAATTCCTAGAAACAAAATTTTGGGCTCAAAGGGGATGTGCATTTTTAATGTGAACAAATCCTATGAAAGTGCTCTCCACAGAGGCTGTATGAATGTCTACATCCACTGGCCATATGTGACAGCATGTTTCCTCATATCGTAGCCTGTACACTGCTATTAAACTTTGTGGTTTGTTTGTTGTTGTCGTTGTTTTGAGCCAGGGTCTATTAAACTTCTTGATCTCTGATAGTATAAGTGAAAACATCTGTCAGTATAACTCTTAACTCTATTTTTCATGTTTCATATTGTGTATGATAGAAAATTTTGCACATTTTTAGTTTTTGTACTTATTGAATCCTAGGAGCTTTTTACATCTTGAAAAATTATTGCTGTTTGATCTCAGCTGTAAGTTTTTTTTCAAGTTTGTCATTAGCTTTCTGACTTTGCCTATTGTGATTTTTGTGAGATTGAAATGTTTTGATGTATTAAATTTTATCCTTACTTTTTGCCTTCTGAATTTTGTTTCAATTGTTAGCAAAGATTGCTGCAACCCAAGATTAAAAATCTTCCATAATTTCTTCTAATAGTTGTATGATTTAATATTTTACATTCATTCTTTAATGCATTTGGAATTTGTCCTGTTGTAAGCATAAAGTTCAAAATTATTTTTTCCCAAATGACTACTTAATTATCTCAATACTGTATTCTGAACAAAAATTTTGGCCACTGATTTAAAATGAAACTGTTAACTAGTGGTCAAACTAGATCCACTGGATTTTAAGCAGAAAAATGCACAATCAAATTTACTTTTATTTATGCTTGAAGTAGAGCTTTTGATATTAGTCCAATGATATAGTAGCTTTTTATTCTGGAGATGAGACTTCAAAAATTCAAGTATCTTCTTTCTTTGCCCTTTGTAAATATCCAGATTTGCTCTTGCTCCAAATAACCATGTGCGGCAACCCTGTGATAAAGGTAACCTTACTGACCCCATTTTACAGACTAGGAGATTGAGCCAGAGAGAAATTAAGAAACTTGCTCAAGGTTGCACAATTAGTAAGTGACTGAGTTCAAACTATTAACTACTATGGTACATGGCCTTTAAGTTTAACATTAAATGACTCCTTGTCCACTGCAGTTGTTACTAGGCTCTGCAGAGTGGGGATAACAAGGTGACATCTACTGTGGGCTACTCTGAAGATAACGTATCATCCATAGACATACCAAGCACCCTGTCAGAGATAGCTCGTGGTATTCATTTAAGGGTTAGGACCTTGCATGAGCAAAGCCATATACTTCTATACCACCAAACACGGATTCCATCATGGTTTTATAAAATCATCATGGCTTTGGTGTTGCCTGGATATTTGAATCTCCAACTAACAGCTGTAGTGTCTGGGTCTCATTTTCACCAGTAAAATGGGTGCAGTGACAGTACCTACTTACCAATATTGCTTTAGGATCCAGTGAGCTAAGGCATGGCTCCCTGCCTCTGCTCCCTGGTCTGCAAGGCTGGGCATCTCCCCACTCAGTCGGTCACAGGGTTGGGTTTCCTCAATTTCAGCAGAACTGCTGCTCCACTCCCTACCCAGCACGTGCAGCTAAGAATTGCGTACACTTCAGCCTCAGTCAACCCCTACCCCACCCTCCCCCTTCTGGTTTCTGGTCTCTGGACAAACCCAGAGACTGGCTCCAGCCAGCATGATCTCCTCCCACAGGCGGAGTAAACTTCCTCACACTGCCACGGTCCTTCCTTCCTGGTCCTCAGAACAATGAACTTAATATTTCCGGCATTAAACGTGATTTATATTCTACATGACACCTTGATTCAGTGCTCCCAGCAGCTCTGGGGCCTCCTTCCTGACTCTCCACAACATGGTCAGCCTTTTCACCTGACAGTTGGGGCTCTAGAGGGTGCTGCCTTCCTGTTTCCGGGGAAGCCAGAGAAACCCACATTTCTCTGCAATCTCTGCTTTCTGTGAGTTGAGCAGCTTCTTCTTCTTTTTTTTTTTTTTCAGTTGGAGTCTCTCTCTGTCGCCCAGACTGGAGTGCAGTGGCCGCTCCTGGCCACCGCAGCCTGGACCTGCTGGGCTCCGGTGAGACTTCCGCCTCAGCCTTCCAAGTGGCTGGAACTACAGGCGCGCACTACCATGCCCGGCTGATTCTTTGATTTATTGTAGAGATGAGGTTCTTGCCAAGTTGCCTAGGCGGGTCTCGAACCCGTGGGCTCAGGCGATCCACTCACCTCAACCTCCCAAGGCGTGGGATTACAGGCTGAGCCACCGAGCCTGGCTGAGCAGCTTCTTGTGCAGAGACCTTACAGCACCTGACAAACCAAGTCACTGTCCAAAGGCCCTCTGTTCAAGGAAGGCACGCTTCATCTCCTTCTGCCAATACCTAAAGGGCAAATGACTTGTCCAGGACCCCTGTGAACCTGGGGGCCCAGTGCAAACTGTGGTCTGGCATTTGTGGAGAACGGTGTAGGCTCCTGAATAGGCACCTGACGCACTCTTCTGCTTGATTCTCACAACCCGATGAGGGATGTGGGCCTGGATGGCAAGTGGCTGGCAGAGACCCTGGTGGTCCGTGGACATCCAAAACACTGGGCAGACTTCCAACAGCCTTGGGCAGCGCTGTGCTGGATGGGATGGCTGGAGTCTGCCTGGAAGAATCTGATGCTGTAGGACAGACACTGGCCTGTGTGGTAAGAAGAGGCACAGAGCAGGATCGGAGTTTTGGAACAGCATGTGCAATTTGGTCTTGTTTCTCCATGTGGGCATCTGGCTGGTTTGGAGTTCTACCTTTCTGCGTGGGGGACTGCTTGACTGGGTGGTCCATCTATCTGACCTACCTGTTTAGCGGGGAGTCTGAACGGCTGCTGTGTTTCTGGTGAGGGGTCTGCACTGTCTGAGGGTCGCAGCAAGCTAGAAGTCAGTCTATCTGGGGCCCACTTTTCTATGTAGGTGTATCTATCTGGAAGTTCATCATTCTGTCTGTCTTGTGGCTGGTCTGTCAGTGTGGGGATTGGTCCATTTGTCTTGTCAGGCTAGAGGTCTGTGTAGCTGGCTGCAGATGTCTGCCAAGCCACAGTCTGTCCAGCTCAAGGGTTGGAGGGTCTGTCTGGCTAGGCTTCTGTGTAAACAGCTGAGGGTCATTCTGGTTGGGAATCTTTCTGCCTGGGGTCTGTCTAGATAGGGTCTCGCTTGTGGGGTCCATCTGTCTGAATAGAGATGTGTATGAATATCTACTCATGGAGGTAGAGGGCTTGTCTATCTGGAGTCCACTTGTCCATCTGGGTGGGTCTGTCTACCTCTCTGGTTGAGAATAGTGTGTCTGTCCTGCTGGGAGCACACCTGAGATTCCATCCACCTAACAGGAGACCCGCCTATCTAAAGGGCTCAAAAATCTACCTGCTAACAGAAATGAGTCTGTCTCTCGGGTATGCTTCTGCAGTGTTCGCTCAGCTGGAAGATGGTCTGGACAGTGCAGGATCTATCCCACGTGGATGCTTGAGGGTTTATCTGCCTGTCTGGCCAACTGACTACCTGGTAGGCCACCCAGCTGTCACGCTAGCAGCAGATGCATCAATGTGTCTGCCAAAATGTGGGTTCTGTGTAGTTGGCGGGGCTATCTCCCTGTCTAGGGATCCACCTGTCTGGCTAGTTAGGAGTTTGGCAAGCTGGCTGGGATGTCTGTTGGGGTTCTGTGTGGCTGGTGTCTGTCTGGCTGGGAGTCCATCTGGATAGTCAGGAGTTTGGCCAGAAGTTCTGTCATTCAGCCTCCCTGGGGGATAGGAATGGGGGTCTGTCTGAGGAAGTCATCCAGCTGGGGATGTTTGTATCTGTCTGGGATTCTGTCCAACTAGGGGACCATATGACTGTCTAGCCAACAGTGGTATATGTCTTTGGGGAGGCTCTGTCTGTTTGGTGGTCTCTCTGGCTGGTCTGGCTCACGGACCAGGAGTTCATCAGTGGACTGTCCCTCTGAAGGTCTAGCTGTCTTGGGAACAGGCTGTCCAGCTTGATGGTCTGCTATTCTGTCTGGGATCAGTCTGCTTGACTGTGATTATGCGCAACTTGGATCTGTATGAATGGCTAGGAATCCATCAGCCCTCTCATGGTCCTTCTCTCTGTGCAGTCACCTGTGTCTGAGTGAGTGAGTGTGACAGTCCAGTACGTGTTGACCGGAGGCAGTCTCTGGAAGCTGCCTATTCTCTTCACAACTCAGGGGCCAGATCCCTTCCTGACGTTGTTTCGAACCTTTGTGCAGCCTCGCCAGCTATTATATCCCACCTACCTCCCCCAGCCTCCAGCCTTGAATGCCAGTCACTGCAGCAAAGCCACATTTCCCACCCTGAGAATCTTTTATTTTGGTCCCAGTCTAGTGTTTCCATTCTCAACACATGCACAGCTGCAGGTGGTTGTCAGCACTCCAGGGCTCACAGGGAGGAACAGGCAGGCGCTGGCGCAGCACTCACACGCGGGTCCACTCTGCAGGAGGGTCTCGGGGCCCTTTCGGCCTCCCAATACGTAGGTTGAAGCCTGGGAGAGGAAGGGTGCCGTGGTCTCATGTTGCTGAGGCGTGCAACCTGCAGACTGCCATCCCAACGCCTCCAAGTCTTCCCGGCTTACCGCAGCCACACCCACAGGCTTCAACCCCATGCTCCACCCCGAGTCTTCAGCCCTTGGGGTTCACCCAAAGCTGCAGAGTTCCAGCTTCGCGGGCCTAACCTACTTACCTAGCCCACCGGCCTGAACTCCGCCCGCCACGTCCTCGTAGGCGCCAGACCCGGCGGGACTTTGTTCGGCCGGAGCTGCGGGCAAGAAACGGCCCCCACGGCTCAGCTCGGGCAGCCCGCGGAGTCCCGAGATCCGCCCCCGGGTGGGCGAGCCAGGGGCGGCGCCCGCGGGAGAAGGCGGCCCCAGGGCGGGACCACGTGCCTCCACGCCGGGACCGGACAGACAGGCCGGAACCGCCAGAGGCCGAGCCCGCCGCGGGCCACCCTCGA